TGCAATATGGCATGAAATGGCACTGATTTGAAAAATCAGAATTGAAATTTGGGCACATATGCATAAGTAATAAAAGTTCTTACCTGCTAAACTGAGAACTACTACTTCCTGGTGAATCACTCTGGTATACTCAGTTTTCTGCAGTACTATGCATTTGTATGTACGTTCATCACTCTGGCTGACGTTTAACAGTAGCAGAGAAAAGTTACCATTTTCCAATCTATCCCACAATAATTGAGTCCTGTTTTTAAAGTGAATACACTGTTCACTTTCATTGTCTTGACCAGAGATCAGTGCATGTACTACTGAACACTTTTCTTGGTCGTCAGCTACTTGCCAATATACTCGTAGATTATTTAAGTGGAATTTTCCTCCTAGAGGATAAACGCAACTCAGTTTAGCATTGTCTCCAAGTTTACTGATGATGAACTTTTCCTCCAGTGCTGCAACTACAAAGATAAAAAGAGAAGGAGGAAAAAGAGGCATTATGTGGAAAAAATGTCTTTTTCCCCCCCAAGTATATTATACTACATGCGGACTCCAGTATTAGTATTTATAACTTACTCCTCTTCACCTGCAGCTAATTGCGTGTGTACGCATGCATTTTCTAAAGGGACTTTTGCAATATAAATTCTGTTTGTTTCTTTGAGGATCAACGAGTCTTTCTGCCTATTTCCACTTTGCTCCATGGACACTTGCTTTTATTTTACTTTGTCCACAGATTAAACTGACTGTGACTAATTGCAGATGACTATTAACAAGTTCCAAGTCCTAACAAAAAAAAATTAAACTAAGAAAAATTACAAATATCACAAGCACAGTCATAACAACTGGCAACATTGATAAGAAAAACATAGCAATACCATTTAATGCTTGAGACCCAAATGATTAGTAAGAGAGGAAACCATGTTTCTCAAAGTGGACATGTCATAGCAGTGATATTTTATTGCTACCATGGGTGTCACCCTCTCAGATACACCCAATGAGCAAGCTATCATGCTGAGGTGTCACAGCCAGTGACATATCCATTAGATATGCGCAAACTCCGTCAGCTGCATGGGCTAGTCCAGCGTAATATCTAGCTTGGAGGACACTTTTCCTGGCCTCCTGGTATGAGTGAAGCAGCCTCTCCTCCTGGAGGAGTGATTGGAAGGTGTCCACAGTCTGGCTAGACACACACAAAGCACAAATCAGCTGGTTGGAAAGGGCTGGGGCAGCTCTGACTGCTCAGCCATCTTCATTACATCACCTCTCCTCTACTGCAGCAGCCAAAAGCTCTGTTACAACTGGTCACTGAGACCAAAGCAGCATGTGTGTTTTGTAAATGTTGGACTGCAGGGGTGTAGGAGAGGTGAAGGTTGTACTGGATGGGAGAGACTACAGGTGCACGAAGGGATTATGGGTGGGTGCAGATTAGGGAGAGAAAAGACGACCGACTTTAGGGTTTGGAAACATGAAACAGAGCTTGTTTTGGTGGGAGGGGACAATGTTTTAGGTAAAGGGGGATATTCCTAGTGCCAAAACACTGGACCCAAATGTCTTACCCACACGTCTGAGTTACACTCGGACACTGGAAGAGCATAAAACATTGCTGGGGTCAGTGCACTACTTGCAGGGAGGAAAGGAACATACGTCCTCCAGGCCCTCATGCTCTACTGGATAAAGTGAAGTTGGGGGCCTGAACTTCAGCAAAGGTGGGCAGTTCAGGCACAAAGAAGCCCCTCGTAGCTACAGGAAAAATGGAGGTGCCTTCACCTTCCCAGGCTTCATCACTGATGTTCTTAAAGAACAGACTAGCTAGCATCTTACAAGACTGATTCAGGTGTGGTTTGTCCTGATTTGGGGGCTGGGGTGTCTCCTTGATGACTTTCCTCAAGGTGCTTCACAGCTTGATTAAGCTAAAGTGCAAAAGAGACATCTCTCAATACAGAAGCATTTGAATATCACTGGGTAATGTCTTTCTCCACCACCTCCCCCCCCCCCCCCCCTTTTTTTTTTTTTTGGAAAGGGAGTCTGATACTGCAGTAGAAGACATACTATTATGGGTTCTCGATACAGTGATATACAGGGCTAGCCATAATTTGAGTACTGACTTTATCTGTGCCTCTCAGACTTGCTTAGCACCAGCCCTTATTATCCTGCTTTTAAGGTCTTTTGTTGGTGGTATGAGATGAACATGCAGGGATGTCTGTAAAGCAGGAAGAGCAGTCTGAACAAGGGCATCCACAAGATCCTTTGCAAGGCTCTGTACTAACATAAAGACAGGCTGTGTTTTTTGCTTTTTCTTTCCATGATGCGCGTCACAGGAATTTTTCACATTGAGGAATTCTTAAGTCTCTTTGAAAACATGTGGATGCTTATATTGTACATATTATGGCCACTCTGCATATCTGAGCAAACACATTCAGGAAGGGCATCATGATTTTATTTGAAGTGTTCTTTACTTACCAGCTCTCAGAATATGAAGAAACAGTAAGAGAACTCCACAGCTAAAAAACAAACAAACAAAAGCATTACATAATAGACTAAGTTCTCCATTGTTTACACAAGCAATAAACATTATATTGATTGTTTCAATATAGTAGCAGAAGTAGATATATTTGGTGCCCATAGCAATCTCCATTATGTAAACTTGCAGTGAGTATTTGCATTTTTGACAGCTGCAAGACTCCTGTGCAAACAACATAGCTCTGTGGGTGTGTGGCCCGAGGCCAAGAATAGAAGTAAAATACACTAATATTGGAATGAGAGCAAAAGGCATGAAGCTGGTGTTGCGCCTATCTTTCTTGTTGAAATGAAGCGTACTGATATACTGGGCTAATGGGTCCTCTACAACATTGGAGTCATGGGGCAGGAGAGCAGCTGCATGGGCTTGAATCCAGGTCAAAGGCCTGCATGCCACCTGGTCATTGAAACTAGATGAATTGCGATTTGGCTGTGTTAAAGCAGTTCACTATGCTGCCCGCCGTTTTGTGTGATCAGTAAAATGCATAAACAGGAAATGCTTGATAGCATGGAGTTGTACAAAGTTTTTTTTTGGAAGGATTTCAACATGTTTGATTAGTCCAGGGAGACAAACCTATGTTGGAGTTTCCTAAGAAAGCATCACACATGCTGGATGCTATAGGGAAACCCAGTTTAACGGATCTGCAAAGCCCTGGTGATTTAACTCATCTGATAAGATTTAAGGAAAGATACTGTCCAGCACATTTCTGAAAGTTATTATTTTAAAATAGTCTTTGACCTCTGTGCCTAACTATAAATTGGGCTTTCCTTCCTCCAGACCTCTTAGGAAAAGGAAGACACTGGAAAAGTTTCAAAATGGGAATTGTGAGGCTGCAGCTTCCCACCTTGATATCACCCCAGGTGCAATAAGGTTGCAAACCAGAGCCGACGAGCAGAGGGGCACAGGCTTATTCCCAGTTTCCTCAGCTTGCTTTTGTGAGCAAGCAGGGCCATGAGGCCTCGCTGCCTGGTGGGAGCTGGTTCCCCTCCCCTGGTTGCTCTCATGCCACAGCCAGGTTGGACACAGAGCAGAGGGTTGGGGCACAGGGCAGAGCTACCCTCAGTGGCCTGTGTCCACCCGGGAATGAATCTCAGGGTCTCCTGCCTGGGCTGCTCACCTCCTTCCCTCCAAACCAACCTGTCCAGCCTGAATATCCTTCCTCCAGCCTCTAACCTAAGCTCTCTCCCCCAGCACCTACTTCTCACCTTACTTTCCCCCATCAGCTGGGCTTCACATCAAGCTTCCCCCCTCTCCCCCCCACACCCTTCAAGGCCCCCTGCCCTTTCCATGCAGCTCCTACCCCTTTGCCCAGCTGGGCATCAGATTTCCTCCAGCACCTCCCAGGTGCAGCATCTCTTCTGCCCAGCCCTAGTCCCACCAGCTCCCTGGACATATCTTAGATTCTCTCTACTGTGGAGACGAGTCTCTACTTCTCATCTGCCCTTAAGAAATGTTTAACCTACCCAAACATATTTGACTTCCCACAGAGAAAGCAGAGGGCACATTCCTAACACAGAAGCTACTACCCTCATTTGACGGCCCATCTCCAGAGAATGAGACAGGTGGAGTTGTTTAAAAGGGAAGAGTTCATCAGAGTTGCATTGCTTTTATACAAAGAAATCACTGGATTTTCCTCTTCTGGGCCCTTTGAAATGCCTCCTTAGATGAGGTTAAAAAATTTTAAGTGGATGCCTAGTGTAGAATACTTCTGCTCTAACAGAAGTCTTTTTTTAAGCAAACCTGTGAGCAGCCCTAAAGTAAGTCTCCTAAGTAAGCACATCTAAAAATTCCCAGGAGGCAGCTCTGTTCATGTTTCTGACAGCGACTTTCAGTGCACGCAGTTTTATATTGTATTCTTGTTTGTATTTCTATACTGTGCAGGAACCATCACTTTTGTACCAAGCTCTCAAGTGTCCTTCTTGAAAAGTTTACCCTAACACTATTCTTAATCCTGTGCTTTAATTTTTTGTTCTCCCTCCCCCAAAACAAACTGTGGATACAAGAAGTATTAAAGTTAACTTAATGGAGAACAATTGACTGTTCTTTATGGGACTTTTCAGGGAATTTCCCATGGGAGTCATTTGCTGGTGCCAACCAACTTTTTGGTAGTCGGCCAGAAATGATTCACTGATCTATGTATGTGTACAAAGTGGGTCTTGATCTATTATTTTAATAAAATTTTGTCACTGTCAAAGTTGGACAGATCTAGAGACACTCATCCTCTCAGTTGGAGGAGGTTGCAACTGTGGTAGCGTGGGGGGCTACATTGGCCCACCACGTCCCCCCCAGCATAGCTTTAGTGCTCTGCTTCTTTCGGAAAAAGGGAGCAAGTCACGCCTGTAGAGAGATCTTCCTTTTGCCCCCACTCTGTTCATAAGGCTGTTGCACTGCCAGTAAGCTCCACTAATTTAGGGTAGCTGGATTAGTTCTTTACCATTGTTCTCTCTCTTTTTCCCCCTTCTATTTTAAAGCCAGGTTTCTCTCTTTCTTTTTTCCTTTTTCAATTCTCTCCCACACCTTCCCATTCTCTTTTTTTTAGATGTCACATGAAATGGGAGAAAGTTGCACTTCCTCTTTCACATATACTTGCTTGGTGAGATTATTCTCCCTACTCATATCTCAACCTTTTCATGCATAATTTATTTTAGAGTGAGGGATGTTGCTGTTCTGGCACAAGTAGCCAGACAAAAGATGTCTCGTTGCTTGCAATAACAACTTCAGGGTTCAGCAAAGCAGTTAAGCTTTACAGATTTGCTTTATCCCCTAACTTGCATTGACACAGCTGTTCTCACATCAGCATTGATGAGCACGCTGCCCTAAACCCGCCATCGGTAAAGCTTTTCTAACACTCCCTTTAAGGTAAGGCTAGCCGGGGCAATAAAAAAAGAAATGGTTGGGCTTGCCTGAATGCTTCTCTCATTCGCACCTGGGTGCAAGGACTCCTTAAAGAGTCAATTAATTGCACGCAGGCAGCGCTCTGTTGTCTCCCCCCCCGCCCCAGCCCCACCACTCACCGTGGCGCCTCCATCGCC